AATATGTGAGCTGCTACCAATGACTTTATTCATGAGTTTATGTTCCTGTTGTGGGTATTTATGACTGCACCTTACCAAAAGTGAAAATATTTTGGTGATAGGGTATCACAGTGGGATGGGTATAACTGTTTAATTGTAGGGAAATAGTCTAACACAGAGGCAAATCCTTCCATTTATTCCAGGAGTAACACTGTAGTGTGCCACTCATTAAATTCCCTAGAAATAAGGATAATTTTTGGAAGATGCATCATGGATAGCGTTTATACAGAGTGATGAGTCCAATACTGGAATAACCTTGGGTGGAATTATGGCGCCTTTCAGGTCCAATGAATACAAAATAGTAACACATTCCTCTGGTTGTTCTATTTTGAATTTACTATCAAATCAAAGTAAATATCAAAATCTCTAGAGTAAAAACTCCTTCAATGTATATTGAAGAAATAAGTTTCAAATAAAAAACATGCAATAAGAGAGAAAATGCCCTGAAAAAGTCCAACAAATAAACACATGACTGTATGTAAATTAATTATAGGACAAGAAACTAATATGTCTATGGAAAGAAAAACAATTTGCCAAGGTGTATCATCCACTTGTGGATGATACACTTTGGCCACGTGTCACACATGGCCACACATGTTTAAATTAATATATTATACATTTTACTATAACATCCCCCAACCCCTGTGAATCCCAGCCAATCATGTGGCAGGTCCTGGTATCATTCTCAGGAAGAAAAACGGCACCACTCTTTCAGAAAAAGCCAACCCAACTTCTACGTGCTGATTATGAACCTTTTCAAACACAAGTACCTGTTGGAAATCATTTTATAAGTGGATGGGCGCACAGCAGATTACTCCATGTAAACACATACTTTATGATTAATGTGATAAACAGAATCAGACATATAGCCTGATACCCCATCTCTTGCAGGAAGCTAAAATGTTAGTGATATGATTACTTGCAGCATTTCCCTGTGGAGTCTATTCATGCAAGTGTCACCGTGCATGAAAATGCAATTATTTATCAGCATTTGAAGTGACTTTACCTTGATGGTAGACTGCATAAAAGAATACTAAATTGACATCCCTTTACTAAAGCCCTTCAGCGACACTCATTTCTGATTTCCTATAAACCTCTGCTGTTCAATATGGAGAGTGCTGAGAAGAAGCTCAAATGCTTCAGGCAACAGTTGATGCAAATCATAAATTTGCAGAGACAAGATAAAAGCCAGAAGACAGAATCTTCATTTATGGACACACTGCTTTCCAACTGCTGCTCTTAGAAGCTTTCTGTCAACAGTAAAACACACACTATGTCTCCCTTTGCCTATTTTCTCTCCTCACATATGCAGCTGTCCATCAACAGTGAGATAAAAATCTCTTCAATCTGCTTAAATGCTTTAGAATTTCGCTCGTAGACTGAATAAGTAAAGCCATATGTAGAAAACAAGCTTTGTCCTCCCCATACAGATCCCCCTGCAAGTGAGTGAGACTTTTTTGTGTGCTGCATGGCACCTGTCATTGCCTGCCTCTGCAGAAGCAGTAGCAAAGATAAATTAAACATGTTATGCTTCATTTGAGCAACTGGCTCTCTATCCCCTGAGGCTTTCCTTTTTTTCCCAAAATGAAAACCACCCAGAGTAAAAACACAGCAAACTGACATAAGAAGGACCTGATGAGGTGCTTATGTCCCAATGTCTATGAATAGGGCTGCTCTAGCCCGGTCAAATATGCCTCTGCTGTGACAATCAATTAATCAACAACCGTTGACAACGTACTGTGACTTCATGTGCAGCACACCTCTTTGCAGACGGGAATACTTTCCTCCACCGACTCGTGGTTGAGATAAAATGTATTCCTTTACGATGCTCACAGAGACATTTTATATTTATTTGTTTGTCTTCTGACCCTGAAAACAAAGCCAGACAAACAGGTGATTATCCTGTTTTCTTTGGCAATTGCAGATATGTGTTCAGAAAGACGGGATCTTATTAAGAGCCATTTGAACGGTCTCTGTGATACAGAATAGAAAAGATGAAACACATTTAGGAGGATAATTGCCTTGGTCAATAACGGTGGGTCGCCTGTTTTACATTCCATTATGTGAAGGACCAACTCTGGCCGGTTTCATCATGGAGATAAATAAAACCACGGTGGAGTCAGAGGAGACCCATATCCCAGGTAAATGAGAGCTTTATGAGAAAGATTAGTGCAAATCCCTCGCACAGAGCACGGAAACGTGGGGTGAGAGAGGGTTTCGGAGACAGACTTGGCTACCTTCGGTTCGTAGTAATCGATTAATGTTTCAAATCACAGCTGCATAGTCAGGGAGGAAGGAGTAGCTGAGACTGAATGACAGCCTGAAGTACAGGCTGTTGCACTGAAGAATGACCCGATGTGACACATGGCAACCCATTCAAGGAGTCAGCATACAAATATGCACATAAGGCACGTGCACACAACTGCTCTCTATAAGACACATGGCCACAACAAAGCAGTGCTGAAAGCACACGCAGCTTTGCAGAGGAACAGAGCATCTGTGAGATGCTTTTTTTGACTGTATAAATAACCAGTGGTTGCCATCTGTAGTGAGAGTGAATCATTAAACTCTGTTAACCTGCAGTGCTAATATCTGCAGGGAGAACTGAGAGAGACAAACACGCACCTGCTCCATTTAGTGGAAAGCATTCCTCATTCCCTTAATGAACATATAGCTCCTCCCCAAACAGCAGTCAGCATTCCCTATCCCTTTCAAGCACATTTCCGCAAGAGCACACCCACTTATCCCTAGAACTACAATGGCAAACACTCGACGCTGAAAAAGTAGAGGCAGTTGATGGGGAAGCCAGACAGAAGAAAAGGGAAGGAAAAGCGAGGAAAAACGGAAGAGTTTCAGCTGACCCACTCAAGTGGTGCATGTCTCGTGTACGCTTGAGCGATTCCTGTACTGCTGCTGCACAGGTAACCCACAGTAAGTACAACCTGTGCAGGGAGTAGACAACTCATTAATGGAGCCCCACATCCCTTCTGTGCACCAAACACCATCTGTACACATGCATGCACAAATGGCAAACATTTTCACTTTATTATGAGAGAGCACTGCAAACTGGGTGCAACCACAATTTAATGGACTTAATTTAAAATGCAATCTGAATTACACTTCAAAGTCTCTAACAAAACCTCTTCTACAACCAGCCAGCATGAGAGTCATCATCTGAGCCTCTGCATGCTATCACAGTACAAAGCTCAACGGCCTCAAAACACAAGGTATTAATATGTATTAAGCTACCAATGCAACACTTACTGCAATGCAAAAACAACCCCTAAAGTATATTCCTCTCCTTTGGAGAGAAGGAAGAATCATCGACCTGTAGTGCAGTGTGAAGTAGACAAAGAAGCAACAGATAAACGTCAAGGGAAAGTGTTGGGTACATACCATTTGGGCTCTCCTCGTCAATGGTCACTATGGTAGCAGGGGGGCCTGGACGGGACAGCTTACACTCTGCAGAGAGGTTGAATGATCACAAAATAGGCTCCATTACTTTAGCAATCTGTATCATCGTTTACTGTGCACCTCTATTCATCAATCAAAATGTATCCAGAGTAAGAACAATAAAAATTTAACACACTCAGTTATGCTTTGTAGACCTTCCTATATTTGTGTATACTCACATAAATTTTACATTTTTATAATAGTGTAATCATTTAGATTAGCATATACTTTCTTAAATCTATTTTAGAAAATTAGAATGCATTATAAAATCAAAATAAATACACTTGTGTGTTATTTTCAGTTGTGTAGCGCTTCAACAAAAGGCATTTTATGTTACCTGAGCCTTTTATGTTACATTTCGCTTCCAAGTGGGATGTTTTTACTCAGCCACCTTCTGAGGCGAAATCCCAATCACCACACAATGACTCACAGACTTTGAGATCTTTTCCCCCTAAGTGCATGAGTGCTTAGGGCTGTACCAGAGTCAAACTGTCAAGTGCATAAGGGCTTTGATGTGACATTTTTAACATTGTGCACCCTCTCTGTAGGTCTACTCATTTTGCAGACATTGTGTCCTGACCTTGACGAAATGTGCATGAAACAAAACATGGGATGGACTATGGAAGAACATTGCTAGCAATACTGCATGTAAATATCAATATATGTCTACAGTTTGATGTAGTTATTCATAAGCAGCTTCGAGTGAAGCTCACATTTGTATTCAACCATTTGTTTTTTAAGTTGGAAGCTATCATTAGCTGCTTGGTTTTGTAAAATGATCCATTCAGCGTATTTTGTCACAGCAGGGTGTCCCATTCTTTTTCTTTGTCCAATTTCAAGCCCTTCTGAAAGCACACAATTCAACACTTAGAAGACAAATCAGCTGAGCCTCTCAGGATCGGTTCATTTGGCCTTAGGGGATGGGGTAGGGAAATTTTATGGCTGTATACTTAACTGAGATATCATGAATTTTCTCACGTTACATTTCATGAAACTGGAAGGGGATTTCAGCACTGGAAGAATTCACTAAGTTTCGATAATGATCAGAATTACTTTTGTTTAATTTCTAAAAAGAGTCCTTTTTCAGTTGATGTTTATATAAAGATAAACAGCCCATTTAACTAATTGATACCCAATATGTAATGTAAACATCTAATATCAGACTTGAAACTTGATTTTGCCAGAATCAATCCATAGATTGAGACTTGATTGACATAAAATCTAACTTACATGACATTTTGTATTGCAAACAGCAACATAAGAACCTTGGTGCCGAAGCAGACTTAATACATATTTCACATGTCTGATGAAATAAACATCAAAAGGCTGTTATAGGTAGTGCAACCATTTACTGCTCTAGCAGATAAATCAACAAATGTGGACTGCATGATTCTGACACCAGAAGAGCAGGGCGGTGAAAACACGAGGCAGCATCATGAGTGGAGCACAGGTAAGCACAGCTTCACAGATGGGGGTCACAGCAGCTAGATGGTACAAACACATGGGACACGGGTAATGACAGCCTGACTGACAGCACCAGATGGGACAGCAAGGAACGTGACGGGGAGGAAACAAGAGTAAGGGGAAATGTCTTGCCTAGAGGAGCGGAGCAAGGCGACACACTATGCAGCTCGAGATGAAGTGCCTTACAGCGTGGAGAGAGGGACGGGGAAATGGCAGAATACAGAAAGGTGATTATGCTAAACAAAAAAAAAGGAAACAGAGGTGTGCCCTCTTACCCTCATACTGCCAGTCTGTTGGAGTCGGAGGTTAGTGCAACCAGAAGAGAGCAGAGCAGAGGCATGGAAGAGGGAAAAAGTATGAAACAGTTAAGAGAAAGCTCTGAAGTTAGAAAAGAACATCTTGTAAAAATGAGGAACTATTAGGTTACGCAGGAGAAGAGGGACAATAGATTAGTGTGATATTACTGACGAGGCTTTTATTGTAGAAAAAGGTGGGCGTTTGGGAAGTACAGATGCAGTCATAAGGTCTCTGCCAGCAGCTGCTGACAGTCAATCACAATAGAGGCAATGTCCAAGAGAAAGATGAATCAAGTTTATACAAAAAAAAACACATTGTGTCTGTAGAGTAGGTGGTAAAGCGGCAGACGGGTACCAATTCTTCGAACATTCATCTATCGTTCCTTTTCAAATTGCTCTGCCTCCCTCTTCCAGGAGATTGAATCTCTAGTAGCTTGCTGTAACATGGTGCCATCTTCTGTTACATGTAATCAGAGATGGGCCGAACAACACCGCATCAACAGTCACCACTCTAATGTTTCACACCCACCTTCTGTTGCCGACTTTAGTTGTGCAACTGAGCACCTGTTACCATGTGCAAAACACTGGATTGATTTCTTATCAAACATTTATGCCCTTGAGCTCTTACTGAGACACCGCAGTGGCTTTAGAAAACCATGTTCTAATGCGATACATTTATAATTATTCTTCGAAAGTTGGATACACCCAATAGTCAGCAAGCAAATTACAGCGAAAACTGGAAGCTATAACATTTTCATGCAGGTCTTAGACACGTTTTCTGTTTTTTCATCCATTGGATGGAATCAAGTGGCATGAGTCAAATTTATCTCAAGCTCAAATGAACTAATAATGCAGGGGTTCTTGACCTTGCTCCATTTGTTCTTGTCACTATGAATATCCGTTGTCAGTAAAGGATAATGTGCTAAAAGGCAAACACAACCACTTTTAATGGAAACGAGTTATATCAGATTATCAACACATGCCCACTTGTGACACTGATTTCCCAGGTCTACTCACTGTGATTTTTTCCAAAGTTAATGATCTTGACGCAATTAATTAAAACTGCATCTCTCTGTCAAAGAGGGACTTTTTGCAGGAGCAACAGGAAGAACAAAGCAAGTGGGTCACATCTTGCAATGTGAGTCATAAACAGGTAACATGAAAATAAGCATGCAAGTCTGATCCGAGGGAAAAAATAAAATGCGTCTGGAAGAAGAAAAGGAAAAGTGGGCCCGTGTGCGTGCATGTGTAGCACAAAAGTTACTTCCACTCATTTGAGAAGAATTTTAACGGATCACAGACCGTACGTCTAGTTAGTTTTGCATATGTCTGTTAATCCAAAAATGTGTGAAACCTTTATATTTTCCTTGGCGTTCATGTGTGTGTGTGTGTGTGTGTGTGTGTGTGTGTGTGTGTGTGTGTGTGCATGTGTGTTGGGCTATAAGTAGTGTTGGTAGCAAAAAAAAGATATGAAGGGTGAAGACAAATGGCGTGCAGACATAAAGGATGCCACCTTAGTGACAACACATTCGCACTGTGATAAGAAGACAAACTTATTTGTCACACAACACAAACACTACAAACATGTTACTTCTCATTCACATTAACACTAAAAAATTTTTGATTTCAATTGTTGATAAAAAAAAAACAACTCAGAACAGCATGAGATGCATGCTTGCTTCTTCCCTTCCCAATGTTTAAAAAAAAAAATCATACATACATTTGCCAAAGCTGCTGTTACAAAAATATAAACCAGGTCGAAATGAGCAGACTGCAAACACAAAAACATTCTTTTTTTAGTTATGATGCATTGATACATAAAGTGAATGGTAACTAAATAATGAAGCCTGGTGGTTTTGTCTTGAAGTTCACCTTAAATTGTAAAAGTTTTTTTTTTGTAAAACAACAATATAGAGATTTCATACAGAAGCCACCTTATATTGGGTGTGCATCTGCCACACAAAAAGAAGGTAAGGGACATGTAAATACTCTGAAATGTGGCCCGTCTCATGAAGATGTCTGATGCCTATGAAAAATTAAAGGGACCTGAAAACAACAGCACAGATTCAGGGGGGCTGAAAAGAGGTAAAGAGGGAGACGTATGCAGCTGCATGACTTCTTCTATCTACTGAGGTCTGCAGATTTTCAAGAAGTCACGTATCAGTCAGGATTGTACTTTGTTACAGTAGCCTGACTTTAGAACAAAAAGAAACTTACTCTGATTCAAACACTCATTCCACCACCATGCTGTAGCCACTATCTCAAATGATTGAGAATTCCTTTAAAACTTCAGATTAAGTCATTCTTAATGCTTAATGCTGTAGGCACTGGTCTACAAATACCGTCAGAAAAGAGGGAAATGAGCTCATTAAAATTGTGACTATTTACACTAAACAATGATCTCGGGCTGCCAATTTGAACCTAATCCAATTTTGTCCAATTTAATCACCTCAGAGGTTTGAAAGCTTTGCTACTGCACATTCGTCTAACTGTTTAACGTTCCTTCCATTAGTCCCAATAGGTGACATAGTACAACATTTTTGACTGGGAAAGAGGGCCAGGTGCCCCTTTACCATTACATGTACAGATAATATCTTTTTGCTTGTTTGCAGAATATTCTGCACCTGAGTGGATTCCTGACCGTGGATGAAACTTGCTAATTCTGCACATATGATGTCAGCATTTAGCAAAAGTGGGCACTTAAGATTACATCACATACATATTTACAGGGCACTCGCAGAGAAAAGTAATGTCAAAACAACTCATTCTGAATATTATTTGACAGTAGGATCTACATCGAATTCCATGACTCTACTTAGTGGGTACTCCCAAATTATGTTTAATTAGTTTCATACTTCAAGAGCATTGCCTGGATGAACTTCCCCAACTAACCAAGAGCCGAGGTGAAAGTAGTATATTTTCTTTGTTGACTGAAGTTTTAATTACCGTAATCTTGGTGTACTCTTTAAGAAAGAAAAATTAATCCAAAGATTTGGTGGAACGTGGGTTTTCTAAACAACTTTCTTTTGGTTTACTGCAAAGTTGTTTCAAAACTCTGCAAAAAGGAAAAGCTAAAAGTCATGAGTCATGAGTCTGACTTGAAAGTAGAAAATGTTTGATTTTTTGTCTGTTCAATGTCACATCAAACAAATAAACCAAAAAAAAACTATGTATCAGGATGGAAATCTTAAAAGTAATAAATGTTCATTTAATTTTCTGCCCAGAAATGATATCATTAATTGATCATTAATTGTAGGCAAATTAGCATTTTCTCATAGTACCCTTAATAATTCCGTGTCTGTCATTTTTCTGGAGCTTTGGACATCTTTCATCCATTCATGCACGACAGTGATATTTCCTGTAAATAAATCACATGCAACACTAGTGTTCCACACAAAAAGATTATGCACTACTTTTCATTATTCATTCAATTCAACAATTTTTTGAAGAGATGATTAAATAAAAGGTTTAATAGAGGGCAATTAGAGCAATCAAATAAGAGGTATTCAATTTACTACTGAGCCCAAGCAATCACGGCACTGTGCACTTCATAGGCCAAATTCAATAACAATCATCACCTTCTAGTTTTGACCTCGAGTTCATTTGCACCACACCAAAAATATATTATAACTAATCAACAAATGCTTCCTTGAAGCCATAAAACCTCAATTACAAAATGATTAGTGCTAAACCCAAGATGACTCGGGATGATTGCAGGAATGCCTCAGTCAATTTGAGAATGCTTGTTTTATACCAAACAAAACTTCCTCCTGCTACAAGTAACAACTGAGAACGGAAAAGAATCCATCACACATTGTGCTCTAATGAGCCACAACATAAACCGTTTTCATCCTTTTGTGTAGGTACGCACAGCCCTGCCAAAACACCTCAGAGTGCTGGACCACTGGGGGAGCCGTCTCGTGTCTGACAACAAAACATTCAATTTATACCAGTCATGGCATGGCGCGAAACATATGGTCCATTTTAGGCCAAATATAATACAATTAATTGGTTGCAGATCATTTCCATTCATATGATTGCCCAATGCACTGCAGGGTGGTGTGGTGGTTAGCGCCGTTTTCTCACAGCGAGAGGGTTCCTGGGTCAAATCTCAGTAGGGCGGCTTTCCGAGAAGAGTTTGCATGTTTTTCCTAATGCATATGTGAGTTTTTCTCCAGCAACCACATCTAAAGGGAGCTTGGATAGGTTTCAGCCCCCCGCATGGCACTGAAATGGATAAAGGGGATATCAAAAATAAATGAAAGGTTGACCTGAGGGGGATCTATGTAGATTAAACTTGCTGGGGATGATTCCTTGAGCATAAATGCCAACTTGCCATGTATTTAACACTTGGTATTGTTAAAAACCCACTTTCTATTGCTCATATAAGTCAAAATGTCTAAAATGATGTTGGCAGTGATTGACTACATCAGCACTGAGTGTCATTGTTGCTTTTCATAATTTTGGGACTTGAAAATAGTGTACACGTACCATTAGAAAAGGAAAACCTTTAATGTCTCCCATACAATAATTCATAGTGTAGGCTTTGTGTGTGTTTGCCCCCAAATACATAATGTCTGTAATTCTCCATTAAATATTTTCAAAGGAGAATCTCCAAAACAACTTCTGAAGCATTAGTCTTTGTAAGACAGTTCATTAACTGCTACAATGCTGACGCAAGAAGGCTGAAATGAACTGAATTCTGCTCACTGACATTTAGTTTCGAAAGACATTTTACCTACTACTCGATTCAATAGTCTGGGCTTTCCGATAGTTCCCTCTGCAAAAGGAACTTCTTAACAACCAATAAATCAAACTGCAGCTGCCCAGGAGCAAAAAAACAACAACAACAAAAAACAGAATAGTGAGGACACCAAACCTAACAAGGAATGTGGCCCGAGGGTCATCACTATATCAATCTGCTGTGGCAGAATTCTACAAAAAACACACAGCTCTTGTACCACGGCACCTTATTTAGATAACTTTGAAATTCTAATAAGTTCTCTCACTTCTGCAAAACACACTTGTCCTGTGTAGATATGAGCAGTCATCAAAAACTGGGGAGGAAAGAAACAAAGAAAAAAGAAGGAAAGATAGGGAAAGATTATCTAGAAAGGGCAAAGGCAATAAAAAAGAAATAGGGAACTCATTTTTTATTCTTTGGAGGGATGGCAAACTGCCAACTCAACACACTGTTCTTATCATAAAATGTCTCATACTATATGTCCATATGGAATCATAAACGATTCTGCCCTTTCACATGAATATCAAGCCCTACTGATGATAAGAAAATGAACCAAATACAACGTTACTCTGGCAGGAGAATCCTGCTACAACCACAGCACCAGTCTCCCACATATAGGGAGTAACGTCACAATCATTTACTGAGCTCTAGTTTGACCAGAACCCACTAACATCAGGTCTGGACGTCACAGTTCTGATTAAACCCTGGGCAGGCGCAGTCATAGAGACAAGTGGAGACAGAGCAAACCTGTAGGACTGATGGAGTTTATTTTGCATGGATCCATTTGTGGTCAGGCAGAGGGGCATTATGGAGGAGGTCCAACAGTGCTTGGCAAGCAACTGCTGTCTAGGGGCATATGTTGCCAGAAAATGGCTGCTTATGGGAAGGCTGCAGGTCAAATAGATGAGAAGCCAGATGAAGATCCTGTTTTATAATAGGCAGGACTAAGGCCATTCATCTGTAAGGGAAGCTGTGCAAGCTGTGCATTACCAATGAGATAATTCTGCCATGAGTGATACGCATTTAGGTATTTTTCTCCTTTAACAAAGTTATTTGTTAAGACTTACTTGACTGTCATAAATGCTTCATTGCAGGCATCAGACTATAAATGCCAGAGTTGTATGTTGCCATCTCTGTGATATGCAAAACAGAGATATATATTTAATTTGAATATTTACAAAAAGCTCTGAGTTGTCATCTACGGCTGAATAAACACTTGACAAGTGCAAAATGAAAAAAAAGGAAAATCATTCGGGAGCTAAAGAATGTTTCGTTTTTCTATTAAACTGGAAGGTTTGACCACCAACACCCTCAGATGTAGCCAGTACTTTTTGAAGAGAAGACAAATGAAATAGGAAAAACCTAGAAATAGGGAGACTACACAATAAGGACGTGACACTGATTAATAGAAGAGAACATCCAAGAACGCCTGACATCTGACCTGCATTTACTGCCAGCCCAGCTACATGGATGTGAGTGGATTTTATTAGTTGTAAGATAAAGGATTATAGTATTCTGATCATATTTTACATGTCTGAATTAATCACAATGTGTAGACACGAAACAGACTGAGTTTAAACAGCTCAGCAGGAGGAGTACCACCACATTAACAATACTGTTAGTCTGTATGCACTATAAAAGAAATATTCATTTACAAATGTACAGTAACACTCAATTTCCAATACTGTCGAGGGAATGCTACAGCTTCAGGAGAATGACAGCCATTATGACTGAAATGCTAAAAAACCCACAAAATGCTAAACAATAGGTAGTATTCTCAGAGCCGGTTCTCTTTTATGCACAATCAAAAGTGAAGAACACCTTCAAATGGAGATATGTTGCAAAGTCCCTGAGAGGAAAAAAACCCAGCAAAACCGACTGTGCTATGCGCCTCTTTCAGCAAAAAATGCAATCAGCGACTCTGACTTGCTCATTTTCCGTGTCTCGCCCTTTATCCTTACAAATCATTAGAAGTGTGGCTCTTTCTGGAGGGGTCTTAGTTGTAAGCATACTCTCATTTTTAATGGTCTAACAATGTGTTGAAGGTCTGAACTGGAAAGAAATGGGAAGACAGTGTTGAACAGAAAATGGGGAGATGAGGGCAGCTCATGAGACTGTAAAAGTAAGAGGACTGTCGAAGAGACAAAGGTGGAAATGTGCCATTAATGCCAGCTGCATCGTGGAAATGATTAGTGGCTGATCATGGCGAACAGGGGGGACACTCTACTGATGCGTTATCTTTGCCAGCTTCTATTCATCCACTTGAGACTCCCCCCTTGTTGCTCTCCTGTCTTTGTCCCCCGGGGAGGTTAACCACACAGACAGCAGGGCAAAGGCTGCAATCACACTCCAACTGAACATTTCAGCACTCACGTACTCATACTGAGCTCCGAGACGGGCCTGTAGGTAAAGATCTCGGTCAGCACGAGACCTCGCGTTACCGCCAGGACCCCCTCCCTTCTGGTGCAGGTCAGAGCCTGATTACAGCAGATTAAAACCCTTTTCCCTCTGTCACTCCACTGATCCCCCCAGCGCACAGACTTCTGCTGCTGCCAGACACAGTCTGCACATCTGGAGCCTAATCAGGCAAACCCAAAAATAGACAAACAATCGTAGGTCAGAATGGACTCGCAGATGGGAGAGAAGGGGAGAGAGGGTGACAGGCAGAGAGCTGGACAGAGGGACGGCTGACTGCAGACGTGTCCACATCCAGAGAATCTAATCCACACCTCAGCACCAACACAAACTTGTCAAAGCATCTGTGTGCACATGTGCCTTTATCTGACACTGGATGTAGTTATGGAGGGATTGGAAGGTACACATGGAAACTGACATCACATGAGGTACAGTGCAAAGTGTATATGCACATGTCAGCAAATGGTCTCTGTAATGAGGGATCAGAGGGCGTGGAGTGCAACCGAATCTGCTGCAGATAAGAATGACAGGACTAACACAAATCTGAAAACTAGTGAATGTGTAAAGGAATCCTGGGACAGAATAGAGGCAAGATGAAGGAGAAATGATGGAGGAAAATGATGTATGATATTTGTTCGTGTTGTTTTCTCATAGAAATGACTAACCAGACAATTTTGTCTCAATACAGGGTATGAGCTATTACAGAAAATGACATAGAGGAGCATAAATAACAAAAGGCCCAGCTGGAATAGAGGAAATAAGAGAGGAAATAAGCAAAATTCTTTATCTCAAATCAATTTACTAGATTAATAAAAGAAACCACATGGCTTTTTAAAAGTCAAGCTCGTTTACTCACACTGTGCCCACATTCACATTAATTAGAAATAAAGGGATCATAATATCTGTTCTAATTAAAGAATTGATAAGCACCATGACATCCACCGAAAATATCTACTCTCTAAATAGCTAAACACCATTCAAAAGCTAGTTTCTATTTTACTTGATAGACAGATTGTAAATAAACGGACAAAAGCCAAAGGTGATCTGAGCAGAGTAGGGATATTCATGACTGCACATGTGAAAGATGCTGGCAAGTAAAAATCCTTCCAGAAATCAAGATCATCCCTGGCTGACATTCTGCAGCAAATAAGGCATCAAGCATCCATTCTGAGATATACTCTCTCAGCCGATACTCCAACCATGTCACTGTGGGGCATTTTCTGGCACACTCCGATCCAATCAGAGCTCATTTGCAGGCATTCTAATTATTTCTGTCTGCAACCAGTCAAATTACAGGCTGCAGCCATATCCATAATCAGCAAAAAAATTAAAACAAATAAAAAAGGTCTGCGTGATAAGGTTACGGGCCAATGTCAGATGCAGACAAAACACAGAGATGCACTCGCCAGAAACAAATTACACACATTTGTAGTGTGTTCAAAGTAAACGTGCACAGCTTTACAGAGACCCGTGCTTCAATCAAAAATGTTTCTGAAAATCTGAAAAATACCAAAACTTTGTCTTGTAGGGAGTAAGTTTAAAAGCTGGACTTTTAAAATCAAACCCAGCTTTTACAATGTATACCTCTTAATTGTCCTGTAAAAGCTCAAACTGTCCAACCAAGGAAGAAGCCCCCTGAACTAAACCTAAATCAAATTGTTTAGAAAGAGGGATGCGCCCTTTTCAGACAATATTTTTACATCTGTAAACCTGTCAAGAATGCTGGAGAAGCTGCAGAGGCATAAAGGCAGGGGGGGAAATGAGGCAGATATAGAGCAAATTTACTCCCTTAGCTAGAACTGACAAGTAGGACTCTTAAAATGGACATGAACCAATATCTTGTATATCAAGTGGGAACTGAAGCATGTTCCTTTGTGTATACAGCTTGTTGGTAACGCCACGTTAAAAAGAGAGGACAGTGTTGTACATTTGGCTTTTACGTTTAACTGTCACTTGCTACAAACTCAGTGAATCGAGAACAGGAATGCTGAGACTTCCACTCAAACCTGGATTTGTGAAAAGAGCAAGCCATCTGCGTAAAGAGGAAGTTGGATTCATATCCTCTCTTTTAAGAATGACAATTACAACTGAAGTTTGAAATCAGAGAACAGTGGGAATGGCATAAATGCACAGAGTATCAGAACGTATCAGTGCCTGGCCCCGTAGTTTTGTAGAACTTTGTGGAACTGTGCTATGCACGTCAATATTGCCAATTTACAATTGGGACCACAACTGCGATACAACAACTGTGAACTGTGAAAAATAACTTTGCAAGCAAAATTTGCTTTCTGGGCATTTTTCAACATTTCCCAGTCTCGTTGAGGCGCTAAACACATCTATTCGTCACATAATCGATCAGAAACAACAGCGTGATGCAGTGGCAACAAAAGTTTTCCGTCTGTGCTGACGTTCTTGTGGTAAAAGGAAACATTTCCTTTTCCACTTTAGTCAGCACGGTTAGTGGAAAAAGGTGGCGGCAGGGTGATCGGCACAGTGCTGTCTGCTCATACCTTCTGTGTCCTGGCCCCAGCTGTGTGTGAGCAAAGAAAGGATAGCCATTCCTGTCCCCAGCCATCTGACCAGCCACCACCCCTGTCGCATCTTCTGTCAAGCCTCACTGCCTGCCCACCTGAACATAAAACAAAGAAAAATAATTGAATAAAAAGACAAACACCATTCACATCTCAACAAACCATTCAGCATTCTTGCACACACAGACGTGACCTACAGTTTTGTTCAAAACATTATCATTAAGTTAGTATTTTTCATAAACTACAAATCCACCCGCCCATCTGAATATGGTAATATAACCCCAGATTATCTAAATGTTATAGAAGCTATAATAAAACAAAGAACACAGGTAAAACATGTGTTCTTTTTTGATACATGCATGTTAACAGCAAGCCAAAATGCTTGGCTAATGAATTTAATAAAGAATTAGCAGCAGAAACGGAACAAAATACAACACGTGTTTAGGCATTTTAAAAGCATATCCAAACATTTCAAAGCCTTAAGCTAATGGAATACATTTTCATTACTTACACTTGAACTACAACCTTTTCAAATCTCTACATACAAGTCCTGTGTGTATGTGTGTGTGTTTGTGTGTATGCGTGTATCTGTGGAGGTAGAAGATGCGTTAATAAATCAATACACTTCAGGTCACATGTTATAACCCCGGACCGCACAGGGAGATGGAAAAAAACATGGAAATACGGTGTTGTAGGCTTGTCTCAACACAATCGAGCTTACAGCCCACAGTTTGTCTCCATACATTTTGACGGAGCACACTGACAGCTCAGTTTAAAGTGATTATAGGTGCTCAGACTCCACACATAATAATCAAAGCACAGTGTGCAAATGAGCGGTGCAACACATTTCCTCAGACTAAAGAGATAAAGGCCTCACAGGACAATCAACTACGTCAAAGTTGGTGATTAAATGTAAAATCTGATTTTAACCGTTATGCCAATGTTTGCTTCATGCTTGCTATTCTCCAAGCAAACACCAGCATGCACCATAACTGCAGATCAGCATTTGATTTAGTTGAAATTGTGTTTTTTATCTGCTTTTACTTTCCCCACTCCCACACACAGGCAACAAAGAAAGACCATAGAAGGACAGCTGGACATAGTTCACAATGGCCTTTTCATCATAAACTAGATGACACATTGTTTGAGTGAGACACAATCTTGCTTCTGGGAATATTCTGAAGTGACAGTAAATACTACAAGATACAGATGCTTTCTTGGACAGGTAATCATCATATATTTTCAATTTCAGTGTAAAAAAACAACAGAAACTAGGACTCCTCTCTGTGTAAGACATTGAAGATAGACCGCCTCCAGCTCACATAATTGCGAACTGCCATCCTCTGTTATGATGAATAATTCTGATGGGATGTTCAATAGGGAAAAGAAACAAAACCAGGAAAAAAAAAGGTATCAAATGTTTTTTTTTTAAAAGCCTAGTAAAACTAGCATTAACTAATGCTAAGTCTTAAAGGTTAAATGTGTTGGTAGTCCAACTCATAGCTGGTAATGACTGTTTACCCGTGAGGGAAAACGGCTCAAAGACTGACCTGACTGATGTGGATAATCAAGAAAGATTCAGGTTGCAAGAACATGGAAGTTCAGTTCTTCAGCCCTTGCACTCCATGTGTTTTCTTGCTTTGAATTGAATCAGTACAAATATACAGCCAAACACATTTCATACCACTGTGACATCTTGCATGAAAACTGAATGGACAGCGGGAGACTGCTGCGTTCTCGACTCTTGCAGGGCAACAACAAGAGTGATTTCACACTGGTTTCCTATTCACTCTTTGCCCTCTCATCTCTCTGGCTCCCAGTGGTGTTCCCTTTTGAAGCCGATTTGATTCCTCACACTCATACATCCATTTTTCTTAAGAGGACTGGGTATGATTGCTTTGATCCCTTTCACACAATGAAACTCAGACCTGAACAACACGCCACCCTGAAGAGAGAAGTCATTGCTTCCCACAGATTATTTCAGATCTTCTCTTGGTTGACATGGGAACACTGTATGTCATTTACATGGGCTGACAACAAGGCATCTGAGGATTTATGAACACAGAAACTGAAGATTGCTTACTGACTGATGAAAAAAGAAATGGCTCCAAATCAAAGGTCAAATCGTGAACAGATAATCACGGATTCATTGCTGAAACAGGACAAAAAAGTTCAATTTCAGTCGGCTTTACCAAAAAGCATATTATAATACAGTAATTCAATCACAGCTCCTTTTAAAGTTGAGTTCCTCTGCTAAATAAAAATGTAAACATCCCAGGCATCCTAGTTCTTTGGTGAAGGAGGGGGAGATTAAACTTTGAAAGAGGAGATGATGATTAAAATACTGTGTGTAGAGATGAATGAAGCAATCTTATTCATGGATTACAAAGAAGGATGATGCAGGTCTTTACCCTATACAGTAAGCACAGGGGCTGTGATCTTCCCTGACAGGAATAAACACAGCGCCGGATCACATCTCATCAAGCAAAATACTCTTTTTC